ACCTTAGAAAAGTGCGTGAAAACCATGCCATGGTGCCGGCAAGAGCTATGCTAACACTATGTCACAAGTCACAAATCACAAGTCATCGTGTCCTAGGATTTGAACGTGCTGGGCTTGTTCAAAATGTTAATCACACGAGATAACAATTTCTTTCCCAGAAAATGTAACTAAGGTCTATAGTATAATATATGGCTTCTGTGGGTATTGAATAAAACATCTGCAAACACACCGGACCTCTGTGGGTGAATAAAGGCGTCTGTAATAGGGATTAGCTAGTCGTCTTATTAGACGGTACCCTTGAATTCGACTGACTATATATATATATATATATATATATATATATATATATATATATATATATATATATATATATATATATGAAATTCATACGCAAAATATAAGCTTCTTTTTCTCATATCAAAATAAAATAGGCAGAAATAAATTAATTTCTAAGCACAGGCAATCATTCGCTTATCGCCTGTTTTCATTTCATATGCATACATACATACATACATACACACACATATATATATATATATATATATATATATATATATGTATATATATATATATATATATATATATATATGTATATGCGTGTATATATATATATATATATATATATATATATATATATATATATATATATATATATATATATAACCTTTTCTACACCTCACTAGCTCTTAATTACATATATAGTCAAAAAGGAAAAATAAAAATAAAATTTTTGCACGACCCAGCATGCCTTTGGGTTGGGCCAGTTAATATTACAGGCCATCTGGACATAAATTAGGGAAGCCAGAATAGGTATAGCATCGTTCATTTACTAACACTCTGCCATGAGAAATAAAACTCTATCTCTCCCTATATATATATATATATATATATATATATATATATATATATATATATATATATATATGCGTGATGTGAAGGATATTTATTTATTTATACTATTGTTGTTGTTTTGGGGTTTATTTTTCATTTTTCAATTTGTATTCGTAATTTCAGTCAGCAAACAACAATAATGGCCGCCCACAGAAAAAGAACAGAAAAAGAATGAAAACAAAATCTAAAGGAACATCGCCTGGGCCAGAGATGTGGTTCAATTACATCGGGATTTTCATTATGGACGCTGCTTGTGGCTTCCGTGCAAGCACTGTAATTAAGACCTCGCCTCACGCCAGCAGAGATAAGAATAACAAATATTTATTCATCATCAGTCTCGCCATTTTCATCAGCAGCATCGAAGCCGAACGAACAAAACGATCACATCGGAAATGAGCGAAACCATCCTGGTCATATTTAGAAAAGTATGGCGGCTAAAAATAAAACAGACAGAATCGAGAAACGAAAAAAAATAGTGCTTCATAAGACAACACTACTACTCCATCCATCCATAGGCCTCCACTATCACCATTTCTTTGATCTTACCCATCTCTAATATACGATCAAGCCTATGCATAAAGGTACGGAGGACAACATGTTACCTTTCCATCATATCCCTCCTCTCCACGTCGTTGATGGATCTAAAGGAACGTCTCAGTAGATGCCAGAACGAGGCTGAAATCAACAATGAACTACCTTAGGGGTTCAAATTTTGGATTTTTGACTGTATAGTATGTGCGACGCCAGGGCTACATACAGTACTGAATTTAAAGTTACTTTCCCCCAGGACAGTTGCCACCCAAGTCTGAAAATCCCAGTCTGCCTTGCTATTTATCCACAGTCGGGTGGGGAGAAGAAGAGGATTCATACGTTTCTTAAGTTCATTATCACGTAAATGAATGTAATGGGTCCTACTGAAATTCCGAGTACTAATGCAATTCCTCCTCCTCCTCCTCCTCCTCCTCCTACTACTACTACTACTACTAATAATAATAATAATAAATAATAATAATAATAACTATCCCGCACCAAACAAGCATATGTAGACTAGCTCCGTAACCATCAGTATTTACGCAGTGAAGAGTTAAAAACCTGAAACCTAAGGTTTTATACTTGCTGCGGTGGAGATAGCGGCTTGGATTGAGGAATCGGAGAGCCGAGTTCGAATTTCAGTCGAATCTATTCACTTACGTGCTAATACCCTTGAGAAAGGTGTGAATCCTCTTCTTCTCCCTCCAGCTATGGATAAATAGCAGGGCAGACTGGGTTCTCTAGCCTTGGCGGGCAACTGGTCTAGGAGAAGGACAACTCTGAATTCAAAACCTGCGGAGGGTCGTTTGGGAACCTTGTGGCATGTAGTGCGCCAGGTATTTGGCCCTTCAAAAAGTGTGGATGGTTCTGCACGAAACCTTCACCACTATAAATCAAATCTCATGTGTTGGTGTCGGGCTGTCGGTTTTCCTTGGAACTGATCTGCTTGACCCTCAGGAGAATCAGTATATATATATATATATATATATATATATATATATATATATATATACACTTGTGCAAATTAATATATATATATATATATATATATATATATATATATATATATATATATATATATATATACCCTTGTGGAAATTAATTGAAATAAAACGGATAGTTCCGTTATTATTTACTTTATTTCTATTTTTCAATGCAACATGGCCCAGTGTACATGTTATTAATTCGTATGTCCATTCCACAGTCGTCCCTTGCAGATTAACCACAGATTTTCGATTGAATTTAAATCAGGAGAGTTTCCATGCCAGTCTAGTACTTTGATTTGCTTTCTAGTAATGCTTGCCAGTGTGTTCGTTCAGAGTTACTAATGTTCGTACGCCCTCGGTGTAACGTTCATCGCAGACAATGGCCTTAAGACAACTAATCGACAGTCCAGACAATAGTGTATGGTCGTGATAAAAATCTGATGCCATATTTTTTAAAGGCCCCAAAATTTCAACATACACCACGAAAATAGATTCATATTACTGCACACCACTGGAAATGACCTATCTCGGGTAAAAAATAGAAATCGATTACACAAATCGTATGGTGAAAGGAAGGAAAATAAAGTTGGTGTTTCAATTAATTTGCACAAGCGTGTAGAAATTACCAGCACACATACTAAAAAATTGTGTTAGCTCAAAATGCAGATTCTGTAATAAGTATCCAGAAAGAATTGATCATCTTGTTTAAGGTTGCATGGTATTGTCACCCACTGATTATAAAACACGGCTTGGCAGATCTGTCATGCTGACGGTAAGGAAACTGCAACCAATTTTATGCACATTCTCCAGAGGAGGTTACAGTTATAGGACCTGTAACATTTTATGTGACTTTACAATACACACTGACAGAACAATCAAAGCTAATCACCCGGATAATACATATATATATATATATATATATATATATATATATATATATATATATATATATAAACAAATGCTTAGAGGTACAAAATTTATATATAGTTTTAAAAACAAGAAATGTATTGATTTTAATTTTAAAAGTCTCTTAGGCCTTTTCAACCAACATCTCATCGGGAGACAATCGTTGGATCAACGAAAAGAATATTAACAACAATGAAGAGAAAAAAAAGGGGGGAACACACAAGGATGTATTGCCCTACATCAAATTCTAATCACAAATATAGCTCACACCTTACAAAGGGCTTTATCTATGGAAAATGTATGTGACCTTAGTTTTGTCTATATTTCTGAGATGAGGTATTATGTACAGCATTTACATTATTCGGACTATTGTCCTCATCTTTGTCGCCATATTTATCATAACGTTTCGGCCGTTGTACGCTCCGGACTTCTTCAGGTGGTTGGAATGTCGAACTGAACCCTTTATTTCGCTCACTGGGGTAGACTGTTCTAATTCCACGTGCCATGTTTGATGGATGTCAGTTATCAGTTATCTCCTGCTAATTTTCCCTCTGAATGTTCTCCACTGCCTTAACCAGGAATTGAACTCACCTTCTTTGGGTCTGTCACTGGATCTAACCAACGCCTTTATCCACTGTGCATTGTTTCCTTGAGGATATCTGGGTATGAATTTATGTGTATTATAAACCTAATGTCTTCAGCAACCATTTTTACCAGTGCTGATATTGCAATTTTGCTGTTATCATTGCATATTTTTACCAGAGCTCATATTGCAACTATGTTGTTATCATTGCTTTTCTCTGGCACTCCTTATTACTGGTTCCCATATTGTATTTATTTCTATGCTTGGTCAGCTCAGGAGATTTCTGTGGCCTAGTATGTGTGCTGATTCCTTAAGTTTACGAATTTTCCAATGGTGTTCCTTGTCTATGATTTCAACCTGATCCCACAGAGGGCGGTGATCTCCCTTCTCTCTCCATATGTGGTCAGCCACGCCTGATTTTTCTACTTCCCCTTGTGTTACAGATTTCTGGTGTTCTTGGAGAAAATAAAGACATTAAATAAAATAACATCGTCTGCTGAATTATTTTCATATTATGAAGAGAAATGTTAGTAATACGGGAGTTTATCGAGACAGAAATAGATAAATAAGGGGAGATAAATGTGTTTAACCTCCCCTGCTCCATTTTGATCGTGTTGAAATAGGGGAAAAGACATTACATGATTTCAGTTAGAAAATGAAAGAAAGTGGGGAAGATAGCCGTGTTTGACGTCTGTTTTATTGAAATGGAAATGTTGTCAACTGTAAATCTTGCATTTATTCTCACTTTTTCAAATAACCCCCAGCTTTCATAATTATGATTATTATTGCAATATTTTCTTAAAGTTGTTAAGTTCAAATATTTAACTATGTAATAGGGGAATTTCTAGGGTTAATTTCTTGTCATAGAACTCGCCATGAGCTTATTCAATCATTAACTGAAGAAGAAAGTTTCATCAGAAAATTCAAAAAGAAAAATCGGGAAAATTTCACAGTTAAAAATTAATTAAAATTATTTTTCATCGAACTTATATTTATTCATTTTGCATGTTCTGTACAATGATATAATTGATAATGGATACAAAAGTGGCCTAATTGCTATCATGGACAATGTCAAGGTGGACTCCGAGATGAACAAATTTATGTTAGAATCGTCAGGCATGATTAGAGACATCTTTGCCGGAAAAACTGTGAATCACACACAAGGCGTCGCAAATGCTTTTGATCTCCATCGACGCTAGAAAGTGAAGATCGTGTAGCTCCAGATGTGGCAGCAATAATCTATTAATCTTGTCCCTGATATTTTAATTGAAATAGCAGTTTTAAGACAGAATTGGAGGGAGATGCAAACGTTTAAGGATAATATGATATAAATATCGAATAACTATTTGCTGGCTTGATCAATGTAAAAGGAAAAAAAATAATATTTGGAAAAGAAGTCCAAAATAAAGCGAAAGAAATTGAAGAAAAAATATTTCAAACAAGCTAACCAACAATCATGTAAGCACAATACACTGGATTTTTTTCCCCTAAAATTTGAAACGAAATTAAATACAGGACAGGATTTATTTTCCATTTGATGAAAAAAAAAATCCCAGCGACATTCTTGCTTCTCCAGTCGCTCGTTTCTTTTAAATTGTTTACGTGTTATCTATAGGAAAAGAAATATTCCTATATTGTTCTATAAAAAGGAATACACACACTCACACACACACACACACACACACACACACACACACACACACACACACACACACACACACACACACACACACACACACACACGCTTGCACATTGGGAGAGAGGGGGAGTAGAGGAAGAGAGAGAGAGGAAGATAGAGGGTGAGACGTATAGAGAGGGGAGAGAGGAAGAGAGGGAGAGAAAGAGGAAGAGAGGAAGAGGGGGAGAGGTAGAGAGAAATTCTTTAATGTAGTTCCGGAAACAGTCTTCGGACTCATTTTACCATTCACAATTTCCATTAATATTCCAGTATATCTTCTTCTGTTATTCACTCTTTTGTGTTCTCTCTCTCTCTCTCTCTCTCTCTCCCACTTGCATCGCTGCTTCAAAACGTCTTTGAGTCTATGAAAATTGGACATCTCTCTGTCTCTCTCACTCACACACACACGGTCGCGTTCGCCCTCTCACTTTCTGAGTCTACTAATCTAGGATGTTTTTTTCACCCCTATTTCTCACTCAATCACTCTCTCTCTCTCTCTCTCTCTCTCTCTCTCTCTCTCTCTCTCTCTCTCTCTCTAAGTTTGCCTTTTTCGGATACTGTATTCATTCTCTTTCTCTCACATATTCTCTCTCTCACACTCATACACACGCACGCACACACACACACACACACACATACACACGCCCACGTTTGATCTTTCGCATTTTGAGTCTACTATTCTAGGAAAACTTTTTCACCCCTAACTTTCCCACCTCTCTCTCTGTCTCTGTCTCTATTTCTGATTTTATCTCTCTCTCTTCCATTCCTTCTTACAGAAAGTCTGCCCTTTTGGGATAACTAGATTATAAGTCTCTCTCTCTCTCCCTCTCTACGTCTGCGTTTTTCGGATAACTGGATTCGTTCTCTTTCTCTCTCTCCTATTCTCTCTCTCTCTCTCTCTCCCTCTCTACGTCTGCGTTTTTCGGATAACTGGATTCGTTCTCTTTCTCTCTCTCTCCTATTCTCTCTCTCTCTCTCTCTCCCTCTCTACGTCTGCGTTTTTCGGATAACTGGATTCGTTCTCTTTCTCTCTCTCCGATTCTATCTCTCTCTCTCTCCCTCTCTACGTCTGCGTTTTTTTCGGATAACTTCTGGATTCGTTCTCTTTCTCTCTCTCTCCCCTATTCTCTCTCTCTCTCTCTCCCCTCTCTACATCTGCGTTTTCGGATAACTGGATTCGTTCTCTTTCTCTCTCTCTCCTATTCTCTCTCTCTCTCTCTCTCTCCTCTACGTCTGCGTTTTTCGGATAACTGGATTCATTCTCTTCTCTCTCTCTCTCTATTCTCTCTCTCTCTCTCTCTCCTCCTTCTCTACGTCTGCGTTTTTTTCGGATAACTGGATTCATTCTCTTTCTCTCTCTCTCTATTCTCTCTCTCTCTCTCTCTCCCCTCTCTACGTCTGCGTTTTTCAGGATAACTAAGTTCGTTCTCTTTCTCTCTCTCTCTCCCTATTCTCTCTCTCTCTCTCTCTCCCTCTCTACATCTGCGTTTTTCGGAAAACTGGATTCGTTCTCTTTCTCTCTCTCTCTCCTATTCTCTCTCTCTCACACACACACTCCCCCGCACTCTCATTTTCTACAGAGTTGCGGTTCTTCGAATACTGGAACCATTCTCTCTCATTCCCTCCAACTCTCTCTCTCTCTCTCTCTCTCTCTCTCTAAGTCTGCCTTTTTTGGATAACTGGATTCATTCTCTTTCTCTATCCTATTGTCCCTCTCTATCCCTCCCACTCTCTCCCTCTCTCATTTTCTACAGGGTTGCGATTCTTCGAGTGTTGGAATCACCCTCTCTCTCTCTCCCACTCTCTCTCTCTTTCTCTTTTTAATTCTCTCCCTCTCTCTCTCTCTATACGTTGTTGTTATTCTAGAAAAAATCAATCTGTCTCTTCGCATATTTTATGCTTACCAAGAAATCAATACTAAATGAACCCCCCAAAGTGCTCTTAATTTCGGAGCACAACGAGTGAACGTGTAAATATCTGATAGTAAGTTATTACTTAATTTCGGTATCTACCTTTGAACATACACATACATACACTTTGTACACGGAAACATTTAGATGCCAGTGGCATTGAAATATGGTCTCTATTCCTTGTATTTCTTTCGTATTCTTTTTTGTTTTCATTTTATACACTACTTTAAGTAATCCCCAATTGAAATACGTCGTAATATTGAAGTATTTTAGGGAAAATTACAGTGCCAAACGGAATTTTTATAACAGGCGACAGTAACATCCTCTACCACCACTAGAGGAAAAACAAAGTGCGTCCTTTCTGCCAAGTGTCTTTTGAGTTAAGGAACAAAAGAAGGATAGGTACTATGCACCTTTTTCTCAAGCGTTCATTAGTAGAACTTCATTGACAAACAAGAGGGAAGGGCTACTTTGCTAGGCTGAGAACGTATTCAGCAACCCATTGGGCACATATACACGCATGCACAGCGAAACACGCACACACACAAACACACATAAACATACCGGGTGTTACAGCAAAATTGCCCAAATCATGTAACAGCATAACTGTCCATCCTTGGTTTTCAGATAAGACGTTTAATAATCTTGACACCATTTGTCGTAAGAATCACTGAAAAACACTTACCGTTATTTAGCTAGAAAGAGTACAGGTTAAAATAGTTTTGCGTCAGCCCCACCGTCTTTCCAAATGAGGAGTAAGAACATTCCGGTCTTCAGGAATGGTACCAAACTTCATACTCTGGCTTCCATCTTCAAAGTCCATCCATGAACCACCCAGAGAACGGTGAATATGTTTTAAAAGAGGGACCAGCAGAGAGGAAGGCTGGATCAGGTCAGAACAGGAAGAGGGATCATCATTTTAACTTAGAGATAAACAGACCAATTAGAAAATATCCAACTCAATCCATAGGACGTTTGGCACGTGAGAGAGGAGTTTCAGCTATGACAGTCCAAAGTGCATTGAAAAAAGACTTGGAAATGAAATCGTATGTGAAACGTATGAGGCATCTTGTTACACTATGACTGAAAGTTAGAAGTTTAGAGAGGGCGAAGATCATATTTAATAAGTTGGAAAATGATCCTGGAATAATATATATATATATATATATATATATATATATATATATATATATATATATATATATATATATATATGAAATGGACAAAGTCAGACTATTATTTTAAGACATTTTTTTTTTATGTTTATGCGTTCTTTTTTATAGATGCAAATATGTAAGTAAATGATCTGTTTATAATAAACAGTATTAACATTTACCGGCCTGAATGTTCAAGAAATTTTCATAGAAAATATGCGTCCTACAACAGGCATCGAACCTGTATCCTTTACGGAACCGTTATATAGCCTGACGTGCTTTACCGATTGAGCCACAGAGGAGCGTTGTGTGACGTATTTGTTTACATTTGGATACGCATCGAGCAGATATGAATATACGAGTGAAAATCATAGAGAATGGTAGTTTAAAAACAGTAAAATTGATCTTGCCAATCGAAACGCTCCTCTGTAGTTCAATCGGTGAAGCACGTCAGGCTATATGACGGTTTCAATTACTGTCGGGGACATATATTTTCTATGAAAATTTCTCGGATATTCAGTAATTTTACTTAAATATTTGTATTTATATAAAGAACGTATATATATATATATATATATATATATATATATATGTTTGAACTTTATTTCAATCATTCATGTGCTTCCAATCGTTAGATATGATTAATAAATGATGCACATGTCATTTTCGTTTATGATCACGATTCTTCAGTTAAGCTTGGAGTGTAATAATAACTTCTTACTGTTTAAAGCAGAGTCCAATTCTGTTATAAAAACCTCGGAGAATTCCAGTAATATACCTTTAATCATTTCTTGAAAGGAAGTGAAGTTTTACCACCAATCGCTCTTTTCTAGTGCCAAGAACTAAAAAGAAAAAGAAAAACAAACGTAAGTGACGTTATGAAATGGCTAATAAACAAAAATGACTAAATAATGTAGAATTTTTTTAAATTAAATTAATTTCTCGTGGGGATTTTTATGATTATATATATATATATATATATATATATATATATATATATATATATATATATATATATATTAATAACAGGAGGGTATGAATTCAATCGTTTTTGTTTAATTTAACATTTTTATAGTCATGTATTTAAATTGTGTTAGGAGGAATACGGTTTGCTTATAGGATTATACTTTTTTATTCTCTTCCTTTTAGAAAACTGTACTTCTGATAGTTTGGCCATGATTTAGATACGAACAACTGGCTTTCTAGGAGAAAAAATTGTTCACTGTTGAGAAAGAAATATGCTTTTCTAGTGCAATGCTGACCTGACTTTCAAGACAAAAATCTCGCCAGTCTGCTTAGAACTTTTTCAACAATAAAAATGTAGCTGCCATTGACGATAAATTTAAAGCCTTTGCTGCATTTACTAAGCACATTGAAAATAAAATAACTTTATGGTCATATTGAAGTGTATAAATTGCTCAGTTTTTTTTCTTGCATGTTAAAGAATAGAGCATCCAAATTAAAAGTTACATTAAAAAAGAAACACGAAATTATTCTACGCTTTAATTCCAAGACCTCACTGGGACAAAATTTTGACGAGTATTAATACTGTGTTTAAACGGTGCATGAGAAATAAGTCCCAGAAATGCTTCTCACATAATGGTAAAACGTTAGCTAGATGATGACAACATTGGTACAAATATTTTACCACGATGTGGCATGTATTTCTGGGAGTTAAGACAAAATTTAAGTACCATTTGTTGGGTAATAAAATTCCGAAAAAATGATTACCGAGATTTCAGATGAAATAAAATACATTATTTATGTATTAAGCTTAATTCTAACTACAGGGTGCAGCAGAAATACCCCCCACATATACCCCTAATATACCTCCCACATAATGGAAAATATTAGTTAGATGAACATTACCATTAATGCTTTACCTCGATGTGGGAAGTATTTCTGGGTGGTATATATGGGGGGTATATATGGGGGGTATTTTCTGTCCCACTCTTTAGAAGTTAAGTTTTAGACATTAAAAATACGTTTAAAGGGAATTTTCTAGCATAATTATATTGTACACAACATTTAAGTAGCATGTGTCAGGTAAGAGAATTTCGAAAAGTTTATTTACGAAATTTCTGCAAAATAAAATAAAATAAGCTAAAACGTAATTATAAAACTATATTTGTAAAGAGCACAATAACGATATAACTTACTGCAATACACATCTTTTAATATATTTTATTGTTATACGTTATTTATGTAGACACAAATATTTAAGTAAATGCTCTGTTTATAATAAACAGTATTAACAACATTCACCGGTCTGAACATCCGAGAAATTTTCATTCAAAATAGGTGTCCTCCAACAGGAATCGAACCTCTATCCTACACGGACCCTTCATATAGCCTAACGAGCTATACCAGTTTAACTACAGAGGAGCGTCTGGTTAGCAAGGTGGATTTTGCTGCTTTTAAACTACAATATTCTATGATTTCCCTAGAATGTCCATATCTGCTCAAAGCGTATCTAAACGTAAACAGATGACAATTATGCCAATTATTTTAATATATTAACGTAATTGTCGGGCTTTGTTCATTTCATATTGTGTAATACCAATCTTCCATACAAAATATCGTTCTCCCGTAGGTTTCATAGCGGTGTTGTAAGCGTACATTAGATTAACAAAATACCGAAATTATGGGGCACCCAGTGAGGATCGAACTCACTATTCAGTCGTAACTGAATAGTTATACTTACTTGTTAACTATTACACCACATGGAAGTATCAATTAATCTACTAAAGGAAGATTAGCACAAGTTCGAAAGAAATGAGTACCTCCTGAATATTGTATTCTCTACTCCGTTGTAATTGACCTAGCTATACACGCTCATTAACCATTACAACACGAAGTATCCCTATATATTGATCGATTATGAATAGTTTAGTTGTCGCACAAAACTAAGATTAAAGAGCACCCGGTGAGGATCGAACTCACTACTCAGTTATAATTGATCTCCCAAAACAAGCCTGCTAACTATTACACCACATCGAAGTACCCTAATATATTGATCATAGATTAGTTATGGCACAAGGCCGAGATTAAAGAGCACCTGCTGGGGATTGAACCCACTACATAGTTGTAATAGATCTAGTGAGACAAGATTGCTAACCACAAATAAGCATTTGCTTAGTTGTGGCACAAGGCCTAGATTAAGGAGTACCTAGTTACACCACGTTGAAGTGCCCTAATATAGTGATCTACTAGGCATAGTTTAATTGTAGCAAAATCCTGATATTAAGGAGTACCTAGTGAAGATCGAACTCATTACTCTGTCGTAACTGATCTAGATAAGCTTGTTAACCAATACCCTACGTCGAAGTACCCTCTGCATTAGGTTTTTGATTACCACACGATTGCATCTGATTGACAGACCTGATTTTATTTAAAGGGCAGGGGAAGAGGGATATTCATCACTGCCAGTAAAGCAAAGAAAAAACGGTGATTAAAAATAAATTCCCTACACAGAGGCACTGAGGAATATAAGTTCTTGCGCTTATTTTCTTCGACATTAAATGGTTCGACCCGGAAGCAAAAGAATTGGCATCTAATACGAAAATAAAAGCAGAGAGATGCTCCGGCTTTCAGCTTGTTTTGACGCCTTTACAGTGCCGGCGACATATGGGACAGATGTGACCTGATGCCGACGGTCTTCAACACGAAGAGAATTTTTTTTTTTCTTTAGCCCTTCCATAGTATTTTTTAGCCTCTTACCTCATCTCTCACAGTTCCTCATCGTCCCTTTTTGCCTTGGCAGGACATTTTTGACGTTTACTCATTAGTTATTTTGCTTATAAAATAAAATACTCAATCGCTGAAGTAGCAGATTTATATTCTGCAGATATATATATATAT